TCTCTCAACAGTTTGTCCCAAATAATGTCCACTTCCCTAAATAAATCAAAATAGAATACATCATTAAAAAAATAGTAGTAAGGTGGCACTATTACAGAAGGGTCAAGGACCTTTCTGGGCACAATGATTTCTTAACTTTCCTCTCTTCATTACTGCACAATGGTTTATATCTATAGACTATAGTATATATATAACTTTCCTCTTCTCATTACTACAACCAATAAAATAATAGGTAGATCCATATGTCATCTTAATTACTCATAAACAAAGAACAAGTCATCTTAATTGTCAATTATCAGCAAAAACATCTAATCCATACATTTTTCAGTTTAAAAACAACTAAAATACATACAACGACATAAACCAAAACAATATTAGTTCTAAGTTTGCATCAGAATTTACAACGTGATTATTTTAGATTGAGATATAAGATATAATAATCTCAAAATACAATACAAATCTTCATAACAGGTTTTATTTCTTTATTCTTAGATATTACTACCCATGTATCTTTAGGCCTTAGCCCCTCTTGACCAAAATTATTCCTATTATACATCAAACTACGATCCATCTACACACAAAATTTGAATTTTTCAAGCAAGAAATTAAGTCATCTTCCCAGTTAGTAGTATTAAGGGGATTCTTGCATTTGAGGCAGCAGCTTCAACTAGCATAATGATGATGATGATGCAGCCAATAGGCACTATTAAGGGTCAAGGACCTTTCTCGGTACAATGGTTTCTTAACTTGTCTCTCCTCATTATTGCACGATGGTTTATATCTATAGACTATAGTGTGTGTGTGTATATATATATAACTTTTCTCTCCTCAGTTAAAAAACAACCAAAATACATACAGAGACATGAATCAAAATGATATTAGTTCTAAATTTAAATCAGAATTCAACACATGATTATTAGGAGTTATTTAGAGTGAGATATAAGGTAAAATAATCTCAAAATATAATAGAAAATCTTCATAACCGAGTTTATTTCTTTATTCTTAGACATTACTACCCATGTATCTTCTTCTAAATTATATGATACAAAACTTGCTAGCATTCATGTTAATCATCATGAGAAGTCAAAACAGGACATTAAAACAGAACAAGAGTAAAACCCAAAGTTAATTATATGTTCATGAAGTGAAAAGAGAATCACAAATTCTACTAATGCTTGCAGTAAATTGAAAGAGAGAGTCTACATTGATGGATGCTTGCAATAAATAAACAATATAGTTACAACTTGGTTTAAAGATTGAAAGATTCACCTTTATTTGCAGAGAAAGAAATCGACACCGAGAATTTGAATCGATGACGAAAGCTTTGGCTTCAAACCGAGTGAGTTCCGAAGGTGAAAACTAAAAAACTTCACACTGATGAGAGGCTTGACGACAACCGGAGGCTACACATCTGTAAAACTATGGGGAAGAGACAAGTTAGGGCTTTTTTTAGCTTTTAGGTGAAGAGCAGGAAAGGAAATGAACTAAATTAAAAATGCCCTCTTATTTTAATTTAATAAAAATAAGAGACCTCATGAGGTCTCTTATTTTAAAATATTATTTTACAAATTTGACTAATAAAATGAGATCTCACAAGATATATAAACCTAAATTAGTATTTTTTACTTTAACAAATAGTGACCTCGTGAGGTCGCATATTTTATACAAAGACATACTATAAACTAAAAAAATTAAAATAAGTCACTTATATTATTAATTAGGAAGATTTTTTTATAAAATTGACCTCACGAGGTCTCTCCTGTTAAAAAAAAAATAAAAAAAGTTATTGATGCAAATAGCGACCTCATGAGGTCTCTTTTTAGCGACCTATTTTTGAGGTCTCTTTTTTTAGGTCTCCTTTTGCAATTTTTTTAGTAGTGAAACTATAGCTATAACATACAAATATGATTTTTATGTTTGGTAAACCTAAAATTTACTCTTATTTTTATATATCGAAATACTTATCCGTTCATTTTTATTTCTTTTGTTTTTGTTTTCATGGAAGAAGAAATTTAATTGGCCTTTTAATTTGTGACTTCTTCACTACAACAATGTTCCTAAAAAAAAGATTACATAGTTCTCTTTAAGGGGTTCTACAGCTTCTTCTTTTTTGCACAAGTAATTTAAAAAAAAAACTTGTTGAATTGTAAAAAGAGTTATTACGTCTTTGAAAAAAATAGAAGGATTAATTATACAAAGTGTTTTCATCAATAGCTAATTCGAATAATTTCTTAAAAAAACCTCAATTTATTTCTTCTTTGAGGTTTCAATTTCGAAATTTATGTAAAGTAAGAATTTGATTTATCTTTTTATTAGTTTATATTTCCGTTCTACTTATTGTTTTGTAAATATGTTAAGTAGGTTCAAAAGTCACCTTATTAAATAAACGATGCAACAACATTGGTTTTTCTAAAAAATTATATGTTATATACTACAACAATATAGATTTGCTTATATACATTGAGTTGAAGGACAGACGGAATTTGTGTGTATTTATTGTGTATATTAGTGAAGGAGAATAATATACATGCTATTGATTCAACTTTGAATTATAAATATTCATCTGAACGTAAGCATTATTGATGTACATAATATGCATGACAATGATACAATCCAGTTATATGTTTGATATACAATTCAAGACTATTTAGATGAAATTTGAGTTAGTCAAAACTGAAGAAAATATATGCATATGTAAAAATATTGTACAAACAACAAAAATAGGTGTATATACATCTCTGTTACATAGTTATACATCATATATACATGATACAATATCGATACATTACATATAATACGACCATTTTGTTGAATTATTTTTGTCACCTATACAATAACGTAAGAAGCCCTAAATATATAATGAGTTGCTATTTATTTATTCTTAATTTTTTTGTTTTCTTAAAAGAAAATATTAAGGGTAAAAAAAAAAAAGGTATTACAAGGGAGCGACCTCCCGCTAATAGTTAAAAGTTTTTAACTTACTACCGACTCAACTATTAAGATTTTTCTATTTATTTATACTTAATTACTTAATCAATGCAACAGAAATTTGGAAGAGAATATCTGTCGTGCAACAACTGTTAAGAGTGTAATTGGGGCTACCTTAATGATTTATTGATGTATTCATATTTAATTACTAAGATTTAGCTGGCACCAATATAATTGGCTTCATAACCAAACATAACGGCCTGAAATAATCTCATCTAATATAAACACAAATTAAAACAGCTGGTTCTATGCCTGTCATTTCAAAAATTCCGCTGAGATAGAAAATGCAGGAGCCTAAGTTTTGAAAATACTTACACTTTATTTGTTTTTGAATCACGTATGAAACTGAATACACATCTAAATATTAAAATTTTGTATCTATATTTCAACAACCCAAATCGGTTAAATAAATCACGCAGCGTACTCAGGGGCGTATCTAGAAGGGGTGTTGTGGGTTAACGTGAACCCATATTCCCCTCTCTAGATCATATATAGTAGTGTTATATTTTTAAGAAAATATTTAAATATAGATGTGCCACGTTCAAACTATCATATAATAATACAATGATGATTGAATATATGCAACTCTCTAGTTGAGGATAGAAATTTAAATCTTAGGGTGCGTTTGGTATGAAGGAAAACATTTTCCAATTTTCTCATGTTTGATTGGGTTAAAAGTTTTGGAAAAGTTTTTCCAAATCAACTCATTTTCCTCAAAATTAAGGAAAATGACTTCCATTCAAAAATTAAGGAAAACATTTTCCAAAACTTTCCTCCAACTTCAAATTACATTTTTTTTGTTGAAAAAATAAATTTAAAACTTATTTTAAAAATATTTCCAATTTCAAATTTTTATTTTTTCACCCCATCCTGCCCCTACCCACGACCCCCCACCCCCTCCAAAAAAATTAAGTTGTTTTTAAAAAATATTTCCAATTTCAAATTTTTATTTTTTAACCCCCCTCCCACCCCTACCCGCTACACCCCCCCCTCCAAAAAAAAATTGAGTTTGTTTTTAAAAAATATTTTCAACTTCAAAATTTCATTTTTTTCACCCTCCTCCCCCCCCCCCCCCCCCCCACCTCCCAAAAAAAAAATTTAAGTTTATTTTTAAAAAATATTTTCAATTTCAAATTTTTATTTTTTTCACCCCTACCCCCCTACCATTCCCCCCTCCCCCCAAAAAAAAATATAAGTTTGTTTTTTAAAAAATATTTTCAATTTCAAAAATTATTTTCTACTCTAGTAAAAATAAAATATATTTCTCAAAAACATTTTTCATTCATAAATCAAACACCAAAAATCTTTTCTAGAAAAATATTTTCTACTGACCAACCAAACATGAGAAAATAAGTCAAAAATTTACTTGTTTTCGAGGAAAACATTTTCCTTCATACCAAACACACCCGTATATCTATCTTGTCTTTTTAATAACATCTCCCCAAGTGGTTATCGGCTACACTTTTGGCATTTCAACTAAATTTTCTTTTGTTTTTCTTCTTTAATCTTTCAAAATTTTCAAGTGTGTTACATAAATTTTTTTTTTAGCATGGTAAGAATTTAATATAATTAAATTAAATCTGTATATTAAAATATAAAACTAGTGGTACTATATATTTTTGACTTATAATTTTTAAAATTTAATGATTTATATTAAGAACCTAAAAATTAAACCAATAAAATTTATATTTAAGATACATTTTTTTCGTAACCGTGCCCATTTGAGCGTAGTGGGCGTGTTTTCCACGAGTAAACTAGCCTTTGGAGTTTTAGAATGTGGGTCCCCCTGCACCTTCCTTCGCTACTACTCGTTACAATTTCTTATACTATATAGTATTTAATTTCGCTCAAACCGCGTAAGTTATTTGTTTAAGTGAGTTAGCTGTGCATTTTATTATATGTATATATATAGCTTTCTGCTTCTCCTCCTGCAACTCATACACACAACACAAAGAAGCAAAAAAACAACAACTTCCAAAAGCATAATTACTTTCTCTTTTTCAATATTTGACATGCAAGAGAAGTCGAGAATGCAGAGGAAGAGATCGGTTATGGCTCGTAGAGCTTGGAACGTTCTCCGTTTAGCCTTGTTATGGGCGAGAAAAGGTGGCATTTTCAAGAACAAGCACCTTGTGGATCTCCGTTTGCTTCCAAAATATATTAAAAGTCTCTGTCATACCAATGATCACTATGGGGCACTATATTATGGTGAGCGTGAGTTTTCGTTTGATGATACCCCTATTATTCATGTTAAGATGCATCGCCCTGCTTCCTTGCGTTTCAAGTTACCAAACATCCCCTGCATCAAACCTCAAGTTGATTTTGACTTTGACTTTGAGCGCGATGATGAAATGAACAATGATGATAATACTCCTAGGAAGAGCTTCTTGAATACTGAGGATGAGAATGTGAGGTGCGAGGAGATCAATTGTGATGAAGCTATTGATATGAAGGCAGAAGAGTTTATTGCAAAGTTCTATGAGCAAATAAAACTTCAAAGACAAATATCATATATACAATATCATGAGACGCTCTCTAATTAAATTAATACTACTTGCAAACCTTCTTTTTCATATTCTCTTGCGGCATTTTTGTACATAGAAGAGGTACTCCTCCATCTATCCATTCCACATTACTGATAAAATTAGAGTTCTTGGTATATTTCATATATCTTTAATTTAATTCAAAATAACAAAATTTTAAAAAAATAATTACTTTTTTAAAATATTAGATCTAATCAGAACAAACAAATTGAAACGAAGGAAGCAGATGTAGCCCCAGCTTCTGCTAGCCAATAGGATGCTACATTCAAAGAACCTCATAAAACCATATGAATCAATTGCATAAGTAATGCTATAAGAAAGAGAGAAAACACGAGCAATTAGAGAATGAATATATCAATAGAGAATGTAGACGTAAATTAAGAATATTCACACAATGTAAAATATAGCTAGAAAAAGGCTTCATACTCTGTCACCAATAACGAAAATATGCCTAACATGAGGAGTCTGGCTAAGTACTTCCTCCGTCCATTTTTAATTGTCATATTACGTTTTTCGAAAGTCAATTTGACTGATTTTCAGAGTTAAATTAGATTACATTAATTTGGTATTTTAAACAAAAAAAATTAGATATTCAAAAAATATAGAAAAGTACAATAAATTGCAAGTTTTTGCATATCAATATATGATGAAAAAATACACCGTAAAATATTAGTCAATTTTTTTATAATTTGACTCTAAAAAAAATCATAACAATCAAAAGTAGATGGAGGAAGTACTATGTTAGAAAACTCGTGACAAACTAGACAATGAATATCTCAATTCACTAATAAAAATATTAGAAAATTCATCAAAATTTATACACACGAAAAATAAAAAAATTCACAGAACATAATATTCAACAATTAGTGTAAACCCTTATAACCTAAAAACAAAAATATTCACAGTAATGTGAATATACATATCTCTAATACATATACATACAACTCCCATCAATAATAAACCAAAATAAAAGACCATCATATCCTTTTCTTTTCCTGAAAACAAGTATTTCCGTGTGTTACTGAGCTGGTATATCAGTGTGTTTGTTACTGCAATATTCTCCCCTTTACAATTTGTTTTCCTTACTATTTGGATAATTTAAAAAGATCTCAAATATTTTCTAAATATTTTAAATTATTAGTAATTATTTATGTGACATAAAATACTTTTATGTATTTTCTAAATATGTAGATTTTATTTTAATTTTTTTATTTGAAAATTCTATATTCAAATGCACACCAACAATTAATTAATGTAATCGTCGTACTCTGACTTAAGCCAAATAAATTAAAACAATGAAAGTATTGGATTTAGTCTAGGAGTATCAATTGGCTTCCGTAATTCATAAAAAAATACACTGTTTTGCTAAATTAAAAACTATTAATTTTATTTATATAAATATATGTTGCCTCTCTTTATTTTTCTATGTATATCTACTTTCTTATATTTTGATATTTCTCAATAAATTTTATGTTTCTAACTTAACATCTAGGAAGTTTCAATTTGAGCCTTTTGAATTTGCTTTTAAATCAATCGCCGCAAGAATTCCTATTAATCATTCTACGTACTAACTAGAGGACAAGAATGCCAGCATATTATATTTCATGAAAAAACTAAGCAGCTTGTTCTGTAAACATTATATTAAAAAACACATACACTATATTGTTGTGACTTTCGAGCACAAGAATAAATAAAATAATTAATTAGCAACGTAACGATACGTTTTCTAAGAGGGGCCGAGGACTTTGCTTGCTGTTATAAGAACAAAAAAGTCTATGGTGAAAGCAAAGTTTTCAACAAAACCAAACCTAACAAATTAAATGTTTTAATTCAAAGTCACATCAATACTCGATTGGTCCCTAAGTTAATCATTGGTTTTGCTCTACAATTCCCAAAATGACCACTCCAAAGCTAAGCTAAGTGGTTGCATCATAAACATGTTACGTTGAATGTTGAAATTAAAAAGTTATCAAAATAAGAAAAATATATTTTTTGTTTAGACAAATTGAAAAAAGTATAATACAAACAATTTTTTTAATCACGCCTCCCTAAGAGCTTCTATGCATGCACATTTTTGCTACTACTGACATGAATTCAAAATCTTAGAATTGAAAGTGGAGGGTGCTATCCGAATAACTCACTCTTGTCTAATACTAACAAATTAAAAAGAAAAAAAGTATAATTTTTTTATCATCAATAAAGCAAATGTGCGTGCCAATGTCCACACCGCATATCGGTATGAATATATATTGATTAGAATATGTTTGAATTCACCTCTGTCATGTCTATGATGATTAATAATGTATATAATACAACTTGTAGAAGCTAGCATGCATGAACTCGGTGAATTACAAGTTCCAATATCGACAAACAATATGTATACTATATATGTATCAGTCTAATTTAATTGAAATCGGCTATAAGGATTTTCAAAATATATTAAAATTCAAATAAAGCTAAGCACGCTTAAGATCGGAGAGTATGTTATTAGACTATAAATATTTAATGACACTATTAATATTTTACTCATATTGATGTTGGATTTCATTTATTCGGCAAATTAAAGAGTAGACAAAAGGTGCACTCTTCTATATAAAAATTTCTTTATTTTAAGATTCGCTTTGAAACATTGCTAAAACTTTCCATAAATATTTGAGACAAAGGGAGTAGTAGTATATCAATACACATATATGACCAAATTAAAATTTGCATTAGCTATTAAGTAATGTTAATGTACTCTTATATCTTATTTATGAGTATTATAATATATTATATTAACACTATGTTATAAAAGTGTCACGATCCAAAATCTCATTAGACGTAAGGGCACCTAAGCCACATGAATCAACTGCATGCTTTCCCTCCAACAACCAAAAATCATTCATATGGAGTAATTGTTTTCTCAATTATATAAAGTATTGGTTTCTTTATGTACTTTTTAATTAGTGTTGTTATTTTTATTATATTTATGTTGGTATTAATTCCTACCAAGTACGTACGAAGCTTCATTTGACCTCTATTATTTTGTTCAATCAATTCTAGGTGAACCAGCAAAAAAATAAATATATATATATACTAATAATGGCATAATGATTTGCAATCATATGTTTTCATCCTAATTTCATATCACAAGATAAAATTACATGTCAAGATATTTACTAATAGTTGTGTTTTTCAAACAAAACATTTATGAAAGTACGTAATATTTTCTTTATACGTAGATTAAAAAAACTTACAGAGGGGGAGATACTATTTCACTAATTGAGTCACAAATACCTAACATATTCATACCTAAGGATTTTCCACAAAATGGTGACATTTAAAATCACAAGTTTAAAAAAAAAAAATTAAATTGTGTGCTTAGTTAAACACTAAACTTTATTAGTCAACAATTCTGAAATTAGGTCTTAGGTCCTAACTCACATCTCAAAAGTTAGCTCAAAGGAAAGAGGATTGTCCAAACCTTATGAAGAGTCCACCTATTTCATTAACCACCAATGTGAGACTTTTTTATTCTTTAATAACAATAACCACGAATTGATCGACAAAACCAAATAATTGACTCAAAATTTCTAATTGTTTTATTTTTATTTAAAAAATAAATAAATTATACCTGCATAGATAATTTATTAAAAACAAAAATAATTATGATGGAGAACTCTTAGATTTGCTCAGTATCACATCATTTTATAATTATTATAATTATTATAATTATTATTATTATTATTATGTTGGAAACTATGGGTGGATATGATGTCCCGCAAAAACATGTAAACGTTATGGAAGAGTCCACAACAAAACTAAAAGAATGATATAAATTGGCCCAAACATATATAGCGGTGGGCAGGAAACAGGGGCAAGTGGGGGACTACATGTATAATTAGGTACGAAGTTAGTAGAGTAAATTGAGGAGGAGGTAGGGCTGGGCATTCGGTATTTTGGTTCGGTTTCGATTTTCTTTTTTGGTTTTCGGTTCTTGTACAACGTGTACCGAACATCAAATTGAAATAATTCAGTTCAATTCGGTTTTTATTAATTCGGTTTTTTGTTATGGCCTGCTTAGTGGGCTTTTTAAAATTTTGTAATTTTTTTATTTATTTTATTTATATTTATTTCTTTTTGCTTATTTTACTCTGTTTTTCAAATTATTGTATGATTCAAAATAATAAATTGTCGTTAACATTGAAATTTAGCCTTGTTATAACATTGAAATTTACCGATTGTTGTTGTGTTGCGGCTGCCTGTTGGTCGATTGGTGGCTGTTGCGTGCTGCTGGTCGCCGGAACGGTCGACGCTGCTATAGTCTGTAGATGACTAGACGTGGGAAGTGGGAATGGTAATTTTTGCCTTTTGGGAAGTGGGTCCGTAAAGTTTGAAAAGACAACAAACTTTTGTTTTTAATTTTAAATTATAATATTTATTTTTTAATATTAATAATTAATAATTAATATAATATTAATATATATTATAATATAATATATTTCGGTAAACCGAAATACCAAATTACACAAAAATTACATACCAAAAACCGAATCGAAATACCGAAAAATACAAAACCATATATCGAATACCGAATCGAAAACCGAAATACCGAAACCGAATTACCAAAATAATTCGGTTCGGTTCGGTTTTTCGGTGTTTATGCCCACCCCTAGGAGGAGGTGACAAAAAAATGTTGAAATTAAAATTGGTGACAAAAAAGATTGATCAAGTCAAATCTTTTTTTTAATTAGGGAATAAGATAATTGGGGTCTAAAATGTAATATTTAAAACTTCTAAACTTTTAAAAATATTCAAAATAAACCCAATTTCTAATTTCAAAATGTTTGAAAAGTTTTCCCTCTCTTCTTAAATTTCAAAATTTAAAATCTCTTTCAAGATTTCTTTCTCCCTCTTCTTCCTTCTTTCTTTCTCCTTCCAGATTTCTTCTTCTTCTTCATTTCTTTTTCTCTTCTTCCATTTACTTGTTCTTTGTTGTTGCTATCATTATCGTTGTCGTTCATTATTTTTTGTCACGTTTTTTTTTCTCTTGTTGGTCCTATTTCACAAACTAATTTGCTTTAATTTTAAAAATTTTGAAGTTGAAGTCATTGTTTTTTTTTTTTTTGTAGAAAATCAAGCAACAACTGAAGTTATCGCAATAACTGTTGAAGTTATTATAGCTACTGTTAAAGTTTTTTCAGCAACTGCTAAAGTTTGCTCAGCAACTGTTGAAGTTATTGTAGCAACTGTTGAAGTTTTTTCAGCAACTACTCAAGTTTGCTCAGCAACTGCTTAAAACTTGAGGGTTTTAAAATTAGTGTCATTAGCACTAATCTTAAAATTGTCACCTCTACTCAATAATTAGAACCTGCGTCACTTTTTCTTCATTTTGAAACTCTTTTGTCACCCTTAATTCATTAGCCCGAGTTAGTAAGGCTCTAGTTTGAATACTTTTTGGCAGAAAATTATACTATTTATTAGGGGTGTGCACTATTCGGATTAAACCAAATAACCAAACCGAATTTTTATTTGGATTGGTTTTTTGGTTTTTCGGATTGATTTTGAATTAATAAATTACTTTGTTTGATTTTTTGGTTTGGTTTGTTTTCGAATTTTAAAAAATAAAAACTAAAAAACCAAAAAAAAACCGAATTATATATATATATATATATATATATATATATATATATATATATAATGTTTAAGTTTAGAATTAAGTTGGAGTTAACCACTTTTGTCCCTTTTTGGTTATTGTCTTTCATGGTGATTATGTTTATATTTTATGTTTGAATTACATCTATAATAGGTGTATTATAAGTATTGTGTTTTAAGTTTTACGTATGATTTATATTAGAAAGAATATTTAAGGGATTAAATATCATTACTTTGGTTATATATGTTATTAATTATTGACCGAATAACCAAACCGAAAAAAGCCGAACCGAATAAAGGAAAACCAAATTAAATCAAATTTATTTTGGATCGGATTGGGTTACACTTTTACAAAACCAAAAATCGAAAATCCAAACCAAATAGTGTAAAACCAAACCGAATGCACACCCCTCCTGTTTATATATGGTTAAAATTATGTTTTATATATATAATAAAATGTTAAATTTCTTCAATATGATCAATTTTTTCATGTGTCTACTTTTTCATATTTTGAACAACTTAACGGAAATTCAGACCACGCTATTAGAACAATGAAGTGCATAATCTCCTTCCAACAAACCAGAATGATTCATATATATATACCACCTTCTTTTTTAATTTCAGGAGGGAATAGTTTCTTTTAATTAGTGTTGTTATTTGCATTATATATGTTGGTACTAATTGCTTCATTTGACGTTTCTTATTTTTGTTAAATCAATCCTAGGTGAGGCAATAGCCACACTACAAGACAATAAATCAACAATGCCAGCATTTAATTAGTAATTAGTTTGTCAATACGTACTTAATATACAAATGATAAACAAATACTCCTTCCTCCTTAATTAGAAGTCTCGGGTTCAAGTTCCCGCCTTTATTACGTACTTAATATACAATTGGAGAGAAATATGTATTCCTATATAATTGATGATTACCTAACGTTAGACAAATTTAAATTAAGTTGTAGCTGGCAACAATTAGCTTTCACATATGTATATACTTTTCTTGATCATAACCTATATCCCTATTTACTAGACTAACTACAAATTGAAATATATAATTTCAGGTTTATGAGACTAAAATTCTAACCATTTTAAAGTACTGAATTCTAAATTAATAATTTTATATTTATTAAATAATTTTTTTAAAGACATATCATTTTTGGACCAAAATTATACAGTTTGGCAAAATTTGTCGTCTCCAACAAATATAATACTCATAATTGATGAGTACGGAAACAATTAAAGTTTTGATAAATTTATAGAAAGTAGAAATCCAGAAATGAAGGATATTTTATATGTATTTGAATTGAAATAGGAAAGAAAATAGAGGGCTATGAGCTAGGTCCATTCCTTAGAAAATACTTATCGTTGCTACTTGCGTGCTGCCAACTCTCTCTCCAAGTACTTCTGGATCCTCGAAGTCATCGTGCTAATGAAAATAGACTGACTATTGAAGATATTTTACATTGTTTAGTCTACATTGATTTTTACACAAGTATGTGGGTTATATCAAATATTTATAATTTATAAACCACTTGAAATTAATAAATTAATATGAAAATATATATGAATTAACTATAATTAGGTCATAAAATTTTGTTTTTATTATCTTGTAGTGTGGTTGAGTGTTCATGGGTCGGTTTGGATCGGTTATTAGTTAAAATTGAATCAATTTAATCGGTTTTTAAATTGTTAAAATCAAACCAAACTAAATATAATATACATATATTTATCGGTTTGATTGTTATCAATTTCAGCTCGCTTGTTGGATATTAATCATACAACAAAAATAAAAACAACAGCTCACTCAAAAGAAAAAGAGAAAGAAACAACAATTCATTCAAAAGAAAATAAATTGTCTTTGTGTCGTAAAGAACTCCAATTATGTTTACTTCTGCTTATTTAATATACTAAACAACATAAACTTACGGAATAATGCGTAAGCTATCAATCGCACAAATAACACATCATATCTTATTCTTTTTCATTATAATGCTGCATTTTTCGCATAAAAAAATATTCATACAAATAATATATTATGCATATATAATTATAAAAAATATATGTATATAATTTGTCTGTACGATTCAGTTATTTTTTTATTTTTTTAAAATCAAATAAAAAACAATATATTGAATCAGTTGAATTTAATTTTTCAATCGAATCAATTTTTATCCTAACCGTGAACAATCGAACTGAGTAGTAAGTTTGTTTGTTGTTGTTTTTCCCTGATTGCGCAGCGTACAAGGCGTGTGTCCCACCAGTTTGCACCGACCACTGTACAATCAACATATGCCAGCCTTAGCCCTTAATTAGGAGTTGGACTTGGTCACTTTGGGCCCCCTTAATTCATTTCTTTACAATTTCTTATTTCCACTCAAACCGCGTTACTTTCAGTTCACTCTCATTTCTCTAACTTCTTTGCTGTGCATTATATGTATGTATATATAGCATTATACATTCTGCATCTCTCTCCACACAACCAGCTCTTTACCACTCATAAACATCACATTGAACAAAAAGCATAAGAGATTTTCCAACCAAAAAGTGCATACACTTTCTCTTTCTTTTTCCAGTTTGTTATCTTCTACTCTTAAAATACAAGCTGCAAACATGCAAGAAAAATCGAAAATGCAGAGGAAGAGATCATTGGTTGCTCGTAGAGCTTGGAATGTTCTCCGACTAGCCTTGTTATGGGCGAGAAAAGGTGGCATTTTCAAGAACAAGCATCTCGTGGATCTTCGTTTGCTTCCTAAATATTTTAAAAGTCTCCGTCATACCAATGATCACTATGGGGCACTACATTATGGGGAACGTGAGTTTTCATTTGATGACACCCCTATCTTTCATGTTAAGATGCATCGCCCTGCTTCCTTGCGTTTCAAGATGCCAAACATTCCCTGCATTAAACCTCAAGTCGACTTTGACTTTGACAATGATTATGAGCACGAGGATGAAATGTACAATGATAATAATAATAATAATAATGATGACGCTCCTAGGAAGAGCTTCTTGAAGACTGAATGTCAAGAGGATGAGTCTGAGGAGATCATTGCTAGTGGCGATGATGAAGCTATTGATATGAAGGCAGAGGAGTTCATTGCAAAGTTCTATGAGCAAATAAAGCTGCAAAAACAACTGTCATATCTACAATACCATGAAACGCTCGCTAATTAATGGAGGAGAGACCTGCAGACGCTTCTCAGTAACGAATTCATTATTTCATGTATCCAAATCCTGCATTAGTATTCTTTCTGTATAGGACATTTTTGTAGATAGATGAGCTATTCCATTCAAAAAATGCAAAATAAAAGTATCAAAGTTCTCTTTTCCAGAACGAGCTGATATTTATTTGGAGTATTTTTCTTGGTTTCTGATTCAATTTTGAAGTTTGTTAAGTGAACATTGTATTTCTTATAAGAAGGTTCAAACTATAGAATCCATGCTGCAAGGGCTTTTACACTCCATCATGTTTTCATGTTCCAAAGTTTCTGGCTGTAATACAATCAGTTTACCAACACTTTGATCACTCATTGAATCATAAATAAAACCAAAATGACATAATTTCACAACATAATCGCGTTTCCATTGAGTCTGATCTGAATGAGCAGTAAATGTATAAAGCACTGCCAACCTCGAAACAATTCTTAATTTTGAAGGAAAAAAAAGAAAAGGAAAATGAGGTGACATCCCAAATGCAGTAGAGAACTAAAGCACTCAAACTAAATCTTCAAAATTATCTGTCGTCAACAAGGTTGGCGAATAACAAGAAGATGGGTATCAGCTAAATCACTTCCAAATGATTTGACAGCCATAGCACAGAGCTTCATACTCGAGGGGACTTTGTGTCGACAGGCAGAGCAGTAAATGTACATCCACATGAATCTCACGACAAGCTTAAGAGAACTGGGAGGATCACACCACAAAATCAGATTTCCTGCAATCAAAATCATTTGGCAGATTAAATTATTGGAAAGAAACTAAGCATTTGACAGAAATCAACCAGGAAACCATTGCTTGGACACAGGAGACCCACTAGATCACTAATTTCGAAATTTATTTTCCCATTTTTTCCACCAATATACAGTGAAAAAAATTGTTCAATTTGTATAGGGGAATACGTTCCGAGACTTCGTGTACCTTGTGAGCAAAAAGTTATCCAACTAGTTAGTGCTGATGTTTTGCTTATATGCTTCCATTCTGCTGAGTCTTGTCGTGAGCTTCTAACTGTCCTGTTGCTGCCATGATAAGACCTACAGTACAATAAGAATTATAAGTTATTTCTTCTACTGCTGGTAATGGTCTCACAGCATAAAATCAAAATAAACAAGTTGCGAAATCTGTAGAATCCTGTTCTGGGACTGCAATGACGCAGTTTCATCATATAATTTCTAAAGATTAAAAGAATCATGATATAAGTGATTATGCTATTGCCTTAGCTAAAAACAATGTAGCTTTTCTGTACTACCAGTCTTAGAGCCACATACAGAAATCAACCAAGAAACCCCAAAAGAGAAAAAAAAAGAAGATATCCCAATCTCTAACAGCTACTACGCCTCAATCCCAAATAAAAATTAAGTAAAAATAAGTTAAACACACATAAATAATAGTAGCAATAACAATAATATTAGAAGTTCTATAACAAGACTTAATCCTACTCTCCACTAGTAGATATCACCTATATGAATCTTTTTCTTACACTGTTTTCTGCATTGATCACAAGAAATTGTATGTCTGTCACGACAATTTCCCTCCAAGTGATTTAGGTTTATCTCACACCTTTTAACACCTTCACATACATTACACTGATGGGCACTACATTATATCACGAACAATGATAAAAAGGAATACTGCAAAAACAATATGGGCAACTGCTAAAATGATGACTTTGCCATCTTAATTAAACTACTACATTTTGACTTTGCTGCATTTACACAATCCATTCACAGAAAATGATTCCAGAAACACTAAAAAGCAACACCATATGTATGATATATTGCATCAAGTTTGCAGGTCAATATTAGTTTGTATCAAAACCAAAGTCAACCAACTAATTCCTACCTAGAAAAGGAGCTGAAGGCCTCCCTGGCCTTGACTTGTATTCAGGATGAAATTGCACACCAACATAAAATGGGTGACCAGGAAGCTCCAATATCTGCATAAAGAATAAGAGGATGAGAAACGGGAGAAAAGTTTACAAGCAATAACAACAAGAATAAAGCAATGAACTTAAAGTGAACCAATAATCACTTGAAAATAAAACTTGTAACAGAGTATCAAACTAAAGGATTGTAAACAATAGTTTTCACCAAGTCAACAGCAATTAAAGCCTGTAGTCCAAAATCAAACCTCCATTCGTTTTCCAGTTTCATCCCTTCCCACAAATCTCAGGCCAGCTTCTTCTAAAGTGCTTACAACTTCAGGATTGACCTGCAATATACACCACCATTTTATTCCATGACGATGACAGCATAATTAATGCAACATGCATTACAATGCAACAAGTATAGGCTTATGCTAACCTCATATCTATGGCGATGTCGTTCATCCACATGTTTAGAATTGTTATACCTTCAAAAGAAAAGATGTTAAGCGTGCATAAGGAAAAACACAATGGGAATTTACAAGAAAAAATTTATGTTCTTTGACGGGTAATAATATATTAGAAAAGCATCGATTGGACATGCAACCAATAAATAGAGAGCAAAACAAAAACAAGCCAGTAGAGATCCACAAAAAAACCCATCTTAAATCTTGTATCTAAATTACTCTTAGATAGGTGAACGAGAACAAGCTAGTATTTCAATGAGAGCAGATGGGTGAACTATATGATAGGCAATCCACAAACGAGCCCGCCATAAAATCATATCATATGCTATTGATACAGAGAAGATGCGTAGAAATTGGCTATCCTAGACTTAGAGCATGTTTGGATCGACTTAAAAGTTGGCCAAATCTACTTGTAAGTCATTTTTAGCTTTTGGGAGTGTTTGGCAAAGTTAAAAATAACTTAAAATAAGTTTAAAATGACTTTAAGAAAAATTAAAAAAACTAAAAGTAGGACTCCCCCTACTTTTATTTTTTGACATAAAATCATTTAAGTTTGACTTTTTGTTTTTTGAATTAAAAGTAACTTTTTTAAGCCAATCCAAACGGGCTCTTACTTCAAATCCTTAACTCCATAGAAATCTAATTGACCAAATCTGGTCAAGACACTGTTATGATGAATAAATGGCATTTGATAAAGTAGAAGTGTGTGAACATATATCTCTTACAGCTTTGACATGATACAATCAGGAGTCTGGAACAATGTTTTCCTAGATCCAAGCCTCATAGTGCTTCCCATATGTGTCTTTGACCCCTGCAATTTTTTTAAGCCCATGATATCAGAAAAGCATCAACAGAGAAATATATAAATGAGACAAATACGGTTTCATTTCTTTGAAATATTACAAAGAGCACACTACCTCAGGCATGAAAATTACAACAAGGTCCGGCGTCTGAGGGTCGAACTCTTCACTGTTTGCTTTCTCCAAACGCAAAACCTGCAAAATTCAAAAGAGATACTGCCACATCAAAGAGATGGTTAACACAAAATATTCCAATTTGACATCGAAAGAATCAACTTACAGATCTGGCAAACTCGATTACAGAAATCTGCATCCCTAAACAGATTCCAAGATATGGTACGTTATTCTCCCTAGCATACTTTGCAGCCAATATCATCCCCTTGACCCCACGATCACCAAACCCACCAGGAACCAAGACACATGCTGCACCCTGTAAAAGTTGGTTTCATCTCAATAGCTTGTAAAATGAGTTATAGAGTACTTTATCAAGAAATGAGTTATACAGTAATAGCTGAGCGCCTCGAATGAAATCACCAGAAATGGTAAGTAGCAGCGAAGACGCGCTCAAACATTTCTGTGATCTTAATAATCATAACGAAAAAAACATAATTGGGGGATAGAACGGTTAGCTAGACTGCCAAACGCCTTACTGTAGTGGCATATTCACATGCATTTTTTAAAGAAAATAAACATTGGGAATTACTTAACCCTAAAAGCTATAGATGAGGATTGTCCAAGACTATTTAAGGAGACAACGGTCCATTCCCTCAACCAATGTGGCATACTTAACACATCTCAAGCGAGCAATCATGCAGACACACCATAGGAAAAGCATAACCACCACGCTAGAAATGATGCACCATAAAAAGAAAAAAGAAATAAGAAATACTGCATTGACAGATTATTCATCTCTCAAAATGCGCATATTAAGAGGCCATCATCGAAATTAATAAACTTCCCCTTCAACATAAAAGGGTGGTCTTCATAATTCATGTCTAAGAGGGAACTGACACTAAAGAAGCAAACAAGAATGATGAATGACATAATTATTCCTACTAAGCACAGATCAAATTTTACCCTTAGAGTCTTCCAGGCTGTTGCATAAGCTTCTGGGGCCTGATAGAAAAAAGATAAGATAATTACGATCAGAAACGTATAACAGCACCTAACCAAAAGTAGAGAGAAATCTAAGTACCGATTGAGCACTATCATCTTCAAGATCTGATGCTGCAATCCAGTCAATGGATGGCTTAAATGAACATGCAGTACATGCATGCAGAAGGGCCTAAAATTTATGAAGAAAAATTACAAAACAGACAAGTCAATATCACACAACATAACTGAACATTGGATAAATGCATCCAGGAGGGCCCATATATATGGAAAGAAGCAAGCGAAGATAAAGAACAAACAGCTAATCACTTATAACCATGTTTATTCTATTTCGAAACTAGAAAGCAGGACAATTAGCACAGTGCCATGGGAAAACCTGCTTTCAAAGAAAAGCCAAAGCTATACACAAATGATAAACTCTATCATGATCAAATGAAAAGACACATCCCAAACACAATATATCATCTTAAATAAAGATAAAGATGGTGCATGTTCTTTGTAGTCTCATATTGTTACCTTCACTACAGATAAGTAAGAATCTGTTAATCCAACATACTTCCCAACCATTGCAATTCTAACCTGCAGAAAAAAAAGTAGTTATTCAATTACAATGTACATATTTGTTAAAAGTACCTATATTCTTTAGATCCTACTAACAGATTTGGTGAGGTTGTCAAAGGTCTCAGCTCTTTTCGTCCACTCCCGTAAATTGACAGGTTTTGCGACGCTGACACAGAAAAAAATAATCAGAGGAGACATTGTGCACCTTATGTCTTTCATGAAAATCTAACTTGCTCATTGTAGACCATATCAGTAACAGCCACTAGAACTAAGAGAGCAAAATAGTGCTGGAAAATCATAAATAAGAGAACTGCATAAAATTTATCCAAGTTTAAAAACTATTTTTCTCATTT